GAGGTCACAACTGAGGCTGTCGGCAAAGCTTGATCCACGTCAAAGGAAGAAAGAGGGAAAGTCTCGAGACAAAAAATTGTGGTCAGCGGCCTTCGAAAAAGACTTTCCGGAATCGCACTGTCGTCCCTCCACGCGCTGATATGAAAGCACCCGAGCTTCTACCACGTGGTTCATGACACAGCCTGAGCCATGTCGGCGACCGGTTCGCGAGGGGTTGGCGGTGGGGTTACGTTGATGGTCACTCGGATTAGCCCTTGCTGTACTGAGCTACCGCCTGCAGTGCCTTATCGCCGGCTGGTGTCAACAACGAGAACACACACACCCTGTCTACACCAAAACTACAAGCGTTCACCGCACACGCGTCGCCGCCGCTTTTAAGCATTTGTGAAATTGCTTTCTTTTGCCGCGGAGAACCGCCTTATCTTAACTACGCGCCTGAAATCCTTCCAGGCGGGCGTACACAATATCAAGCGTTTCGAGAAATGCCCGTGGAGTAGAACTATGGGAAAATTCGGAGCCCGCGATGTCGATATCGTCGCCGTTGTGTTAGTACGCCGTCGCGTACTGCAGTCCCCCGTTGGGGGAGGGGGGTGGGGGGGGGTCTTACTACGATAACATGGCGACAGCGTTTACACTCTATGTATTTACGCGAGGCTCGAGTATTTGGGGATAATGCTGCCGGTTGGTGTGCCCCTCTGTGCCTGATATTATCGCCCGTGACGCCAGCGAGTGAGATGGCGACAGGCATGACTGCTCAGTAAACAGGCGTCGGCGGCCATGTTTTGCTGGTTGAAGCGAACCCCCTTGTCCTTGACAGCGAGCGGGGAAATGCGAAAAAAAGATTGTATCGGCCGTTTTGCCTGAACTAGCGACGAGTGTCGTCTGCGGTTTCCGGCAACTATTTTGCCATAATCGTGAGCTTAGCGAGGAAATGATTTTTGCTAGCCACAGAACACTACCACGCAGAAAGGGAATGCTTGAACATGTTTTTGTTCTGGATATATATCAGGGATATATATGAGAGAGAGAGAGAGAGAGATGAAGGTAGAGCGGAAGAGGGAATAGCATATAGTGTCGCAGGAGAATAAAGTAAACAAAGTTCCTAGTGGCCGATGGCTGCATGATCTTTTCTCGGATCACTAGTCCGTAATATGATACCTCTTTGTACACAGTAGTTTCTCCTTAATTTAAGTGTGTGAATGATTTCTTTAGTTATCATTGGCCTCATCTGAATAAAAATATATAAAAGATGTGTGTTGGTTTCATGAAACTGGAACTCGGAGTCAGTTCTTGTATAAAACACTGCTAAGTGTAGGCTTTGAAAAAGGACCCTACTTTGGGGAGTTGTATCTTCTTTCTCAATAAAATGATGCAACATGTTTTTAATGGAAATGAATGCCGAAATAGAGTATAACAGGTTACCTAAATTTAAAAAAAATCGAGGGTGGTGTTTTTTTTTATTCGCATCGGAATTTTTCTTTGTTTGATTTTTTTTCCATGTTTGACTAAATATATCCTAACTATTGTATCACACAGATACCTTAGTTATTTTTTAAGTATTAGCTATATATTAGTAGAATAATATCTGCAAATTATATCATAATGATTAAATTATTTCATGAGATACAGACCTCCAAAGTTTGCCATTTGTCGTTCGAGCAGGCATGTTTGTCAATTTTTAGAAAAATAAATAAATTTTAAATAAATATGATTACTTTATATTACAAGCAAGCTATACCCATAGTTTGCGCCTAAAACGTATTAGAGTTCTCCTAATGTTATCGCTTTAGTTATTCACTCTCAAACGGGCCCCCTCCATCAGTGCGCGTTAATGCAACTGTCCACCACCTCATGCCTTACGATTTTTCCTGTCCCCAAGTATTTTTTGTAGTCAAAACTAAGTTTGGATTCGTTCATACCAGACACTAGACAATAACATATAAAAACATCCGTTGATTTGAAAATGTCGACTAGCCATCCTTTGGTCGATCTTATCTGAAATCACCCAACTCTACCTTGCGCTAAAATTCTGAATAAGACTGCAACTAGTATGTATGATAGACTACAATATTCAGATTTCCTTTTTTTTTTTTTTTAATTCAATATTTAGCTAGGATACTTGTGTATTGTGGGATGATTTATATGGACTTCTTTATAAGCTTACTTTTTATGTCATCTCTTGTTTAGTTATTACCTTTACATAGGTTCCATCTGTATGATGGCGCAGTGAACAGAGTAAATTAAAACTCAATTAGCTGGAGGAGTGAATGGAAACTTGGGAATAGCCTTGTTAAGTTCAACTGGATTCTTTCTAAGGCTTATTTATCATTCAGAATGCCAAATTTTGTTATTATAAAGTCCTATATATGAATTGTCCATGATGTTCATAATAAAATGACTGAAGCAAGGTTTTTATCTTAATTAAATATTCCAGTTTTAATACACCCTTTAGGTATTCAATGAAACATCAACTTGGGTGCTCTATATTGTGTTCTAATATGATTTTCTTAAGAATATACTATTTGGTTTACCTTTGGCTCTGTAGCTAAAATAACCATTTCCAGCAGTTCATACTGTCCTTCATCATTCAGCATAGTGTTGTTGTGCTTGGTTCTTCTACATGCAACAGCTAGTTCTGTGTTTGAGGGAACCAGATCTGCTGTGTAATAGACCCTTTTCAAAATTGGACTGCATTGGACACGAGCACTTTGTCGACATTCGGACTGTACTCAGGTAGAACCGCATTCCACACGAGTGCTATGTCAGTGCTCTACACAAACTTGGAAACAATCACAAACTTCACTTCGGAAGCGATGAGACCAATTAATGGTGGTTGCACATAATCTTTGCATGATTTCACAATTTTGAAAAGGGTCTATTTATGATAACAAAAGGTTGCACATTAGTGGGAAGGCAAAGTAGACAATGCCTCTTGATGGACAGGCCAACAGATTAATCTTAATGTATGTTATTTGCAGTGGTAGTAATTAAAATGATCTGTAAACTTGTGCTCCAAAAGTTCCATTTGCTGCTCCAAAGTGAACATTTAGCTGCTCCAAAAAGTGCTCCAAAATGACTCTGACCGATCACATCTCTGGTACTGTATTTTCAGGCAGAATCGAAAGCCATTTGTAATATCTTGCTTTGGCTGTTCTGAAATTCTAAACTTCTATTCCCAAGCTTAGTCCCAATAGGGCTTTTTTCATTATGTGCTTTTCTTGCATATTTCTGAAGATTTTTTGCTTGCTAAAGCTTGGAACGCTTTTTAACCAAACCTCCTACTTCCAGAATTTTTGTCCACCCATTCGTAACTGTATTCTACTGCTAAATTTAGCAGGGAAATTGAATTGGTGTATACACTCTGAAAATTGGAAAAAAGTAGACTGATCCTGGCAGCCAGTTTGGCTATGCTGCCACTGCCGTAATACAGGGAGGGAACTAGTCTGTCTGCACGTGCAAAACCCTTACTGCTGCTTTGAGCGTGGGAAGTGTGTGACAGTCCTAGCCATCAAGTGCTCTGTGCCTGTCCCTTTGAACTAATTACGACAGCGCCGCAGATGCTTTGAACGTTTGGCGAGATCGGTCTATTGGTGAGGAGATCAGACCGTGGCACCCCAAGCGGCTAACTTTAGAACTACACGGATGGGGACAACAAATAACAATTACTCAGCGCTTGGCTGACTTAACCGAACGCCGCATCAGCGTTCGGCTAGAGTTCATGTTCTCCGGTCGTCTGAGGGGGAGGAGGAGCTCTTTTGTTACCACTCCGGCCTGCATGAACAATGCAGCATGCAGGGGACATATGCCCAGCTCAGCACAAAAGCCTAAGTGGGTCACGCTCGCATTCTCTGACAACTGCTTTCGGGAGAGATCCGGCGCTAACAATAAACGTCACCTCGTTTATTGTTAATAGTTTTACGTTAAGACTTGAACGTGCTCACAAGGCCTGTGGGCATGTCCATAGGCCTTGTGTTGGGTAAACACCAAGGTGTGGGGACAACAAATGGGTCAGAGCACCCCCTATAGTTCAATCTCCTCGCCAATCGGCTGTGACCTTTTCTGATAAGTCCCCTAAAGCCATCATGTGACCTTAGGTCATGTGACATCATTATAGGACTTAGCAGTTTGCTGCCATTTTTGTAAATGCTAACAGTTATTTTTTAGATGCGGAGCATCTCTTGCTCGGGTCTATGTCCCGCGGCGTCAGCGTCGTAGTCCGCACTCACACTACGCATGGGCAACTCTCCTTCCCTCTCTCCAACAGCTGCGCGTTACTCTCTCCGCTCTCTCTCTCTACCAGCTGCGTGCACTTCGCGTGCGTTCGCTTCTACTCCACCGTGCGCGCATCCGCAACTCTCCTCCTCTAGTCTCCTCTCCTTCAAGTGTGAATATAAGCAGCGGTAGCGCGCCACGCGCGTTCAGTTCACCGCTGTTGATTCCACTTCACTCCGTTCTTCCGATGAAGTGTGATGGAAGCAACAGTCCCGTCAGTTAGTGGGTTGGCACAAGCAAGCGTCAGCACCACCTCCAACAACGTTCACGCGATGTGTGGTAACCAACGCAAGTTAACGTAATAACACGCAAGTTAACAACGTTACTAACAACGTTACTAACACTGTTAATAATGGTTCCCCTCGGGAAGATGGTGTAATTTTTTTATCATGCTAACAGCAAGAAGGCAAAAGTTGAGAGAAATTACGGAGAAAAAGATGCAGATGATTTCACACTGTTTTTTTTTTTATCATGGATGCATACTACCTAGCCCAATTGACCATTTGACTAAGAAAAAGATGGCTAAGCATCTAGGAAATGAAGGAACAAATACAGCATTTCTGACTCGTCAGTGTGATGAAAGTATAAGGCTTTTGGCTAAATCCAGCTTAAGAACAAACTTGCTTGTCTGTGTTTGCCGGATTTATGCCAAAAGACTGGCCCCGTGGTACTGGCGAACTTGCTTGTTCTTGACAAGACATACTTCAATTGCTCTGTGTGGTTGGCAGTTGCGGATGACGCCGTTGCACTGGGCAGTCGAGAGGGGCCACCTGGACGTGATCAACTGCCTGCTGCGCTGGGGGGCGGACGTGTCAGCCTGCAGCAAGTTCGACAAGTCGCCCCTCGACATTGCGCTGGACAACGACCAGGTGGAGGTGGTGCGAGTACTGCAGGTGAGAAGGACATCCCTAATGCTGTTCCCTAGGTTTTTCGGTATGGTTCCCATTTGGGTGCAGTGGTGTATTGCCTTGGCCACCGCATCATTAGCAGGGCTCCTCATTACTGCTCTCATGACTGCAAGAATTTTTTTAACGCATATTGCGTTATAAGGGCCAAGTTTCATGGTCACCCGACGAGACATTACAATGTCGCGTGACAACGTGACATCACGTGATGTCTCGCACGCAGCACAGGCCCAGCTTATTTGGAAAAGTTTCCGTACGTCTCCGAGTTTATCGGATACGATCGAGACATGCTTAAAATTTGACATCCCATTTGATCGCAGTTTGTGCTCGAGCCATCACATGGTTACGAGATCGTCGAGGAGTCTCGAATGAACGTTTGCCTTGCGAGATTGCCAATTCTGTTCTTCTCGCTATATATCTGTAGGGTGAAAAACATGTAGATACGTTTGAAGTCAACTCAACTCAAGGTGGAGCAATGCAGAAAGAAAAGCAGAGCTTTTCTTTCTGCATTGCTGCACCTCCCTCTCCCAGCATCCTGTTATTACCCCCAGTATTATGGTCCTCCTATGTTTAGTGTTAAAGAGCCCCTGAAAAGAAAGAAAAAGTTTTTTTTTAAACAATCTCGTTGGGACACGCACGTAAAAAAAAAATATTTACACGAAAAAGACAAGGAAAGAACATTTTTAGAGCAATATTGACCGCGAGAGATTTATTTGAAATTCTGCGCGCAAAGTCCATGACGTCACGGGTCATTCCGGAATGACCATCTCGGTCATGAAGGTGAAGCCGATCTACCTCTCCTCCATGTGCCCAAAATTCCGAGAGAGAAAACAAGTAGAAAGGAGGTGACTGCCAACTAAATCGTGTCTCGCGCCTTCAATATTGCTCTAAAAAATTTTTTTTTTTTCACGTAAAATTAATTTGTTTGCAAGCGTGGCCCAACCAGAGACCGTTAAAAAAATCTTTGTTTTTTCTTTTCGGGGGTTCTTTAAGGCCCATCCACACACTTGCGTCACCAGGTTCTTGCAATCTCTTACGACGAGAGGACGTGCTGGCTCCAAATATGAGCTGACCCTGAAAGCGCATTTCCCTAAAGCAAAGGTTTTGCAGTATTTTCAAGATCAGATCTACACACTGTCTATGAGAAATGATCATTTATAACATTGTCAAAAAAGTTTTTCGAGCCAAGAAAAAAAAAAATGATGCGCTAAAAGAATACAAGATACCGTGTTCTCACACGCATTACTCGCTCCTGCATATAATCAGCACCCCCAACTTGCTACTCTCGGAAAACACGAGAAAATTCCTCGAATATTACCCATGCTAGCAACTCAAAGTAATATCCAGATCATGCTAGAAACCATACCTTTATTTCGAATACACTCACGCCGGTGCCTCGTCGCAAATATCGTCGTCATCCAAGCCGTCAAGGCAATTGCTAGTGCGGCTCCTTTTTAAATTGTTTTGCATTGTCTCGTCTAGAAAAATCGAGGTCGACACGGCGGGACCGCGACCTCTTCATTTCTCGACGAACTTCGCGATCATTTTTTTAAGCTCGGGGTATGCGCTAGTCTTGGGACCATGGAACTATCTTCGGTTGTGGCTTGCAGTTTGCCGCTTCTCATTTTACCTCCATTGTCGCTCGCGCAACCCGTCAGCGTCTTAGCGGTCGTAGTTCCTGCCTGCCATGCGATTTCCGATATGGCAATGGTGGCTACCCGAAAAAGCAAAGACGGCTACCCAGAGAAGGTCGTAAGAAAGTCTCTAGGAGAGACTGGAGAAGACATACTGGGAAGAATCTATCCCTGTGACTTTTCGCGAATTGCTGCGAAGCTGCACTGCTTGCTAAAATTCGCATGTAACCTGCACCCCAAACCATGCCTTTGATTTTCTATGAATTTGGATGCCGGTTGTATGCGGTATAATACGGCATGTGGAAATACTGAATGTTCCACGGCTACTCGATAGACGGCTTCAATATGTCCTCTCGTCGAAAGAGATCCCGAGAGGTTGTTTTTTCTTCAATATTTTGTATTTAAGGCCCTTGATTGTAAGCAGTTGCAACTGCATGAACCAGCCTTCAGTCCCGAAAAGAGTTGAAAATGGGCTGTAACTTATCGTTTCAGGAACACATGTGCAATCCTTCCCGTCCCAAGGAACCGGTGCAGCAGACATTCATTTTGCCCGTGGCACCGGTAACGGCGAAGGTACCGAGACTTGCGGCCGCCAAAACGTTTTGCATTCATGTAGAGTGTGAACCTGTAGTTAGTCCTTAGCAAAGGCCTTCCCTGCGGATGCTCACTTAAACAAAGAAAAAAATATTCACATAGGTGAACTCTTTTTTGTTCTTGTGGGCTCCAAAGCAGATTTCGCACCCCTTCTGCTTTCATTGCATACCCGTCATCTCATTGCACGAGATACATCTGTTCTAGAATTTTCTCGTTGGTGTGCCGATTCCCATCTCAAGTTGCCAAAAAAAATAATCTTAATGCATGTCAGTCCTTTTTAATTCTTTAAGTGCCAGGCAATTTTTGCGAAAAACTTCACCAAAATGTATTTCTTTTTATAGTACACTTTGATAGCCAATGTTCCTTTTGTTTCCAAGATGTATGGCACGGGGGTGCAATATGTATGAGCTAGATTCAAAATTGACCTAAATTTATGTCACAATATGATGAAATCTGTGACAGTCTCATTCATCACATCAGCACTCAAAAGAAGTTCCCAGTAATTATAATGCAATTACATGCAAAGGTGCAAGCGAGCTGGACAAAAATGACGAAAATAATCCCTGGAGAAGGGGAACAAGAGGGACAAATGGCAAACAGAAATCTCCAAACGCAGCTAGGTGACTGGTGGCAGCTGATAAAACCCGTTTGCTCTACTGACGTCTTACCCCTGGTTAGCTCAGTTGGTAGAGCACTCCACCTGTAATGGAGAGGTCCTGGGTTCGACACCCGGACCAGGCGGATTTTTTCGGTCACTCACCAGTCACCTAGCCTTGTTTGGAGATTTGTGTTTGTCCTTTGTCCCTCTTGTTCCCCTTTCCCAGGGATTATTTTCGTCAAGTTCCCAGTACCTTACCTCATCTAGAGGATTGTCGTTAAATAGGTCGACATTGACACATGGCATGGCAATAAAGTGAAAACGAGGAAGCGCCAGTGGAGAATTTGTTGTGTCCACTTTTGCAGTAACGACAGCAAAAACCTGATCGTCTCTGACGTCCATATCCACCGAGTTTTTATACTTTTTTGTGGAGTCATCACTCCCATCGCTACCGTCTAGCGCGAAATAATCGTCATCCGGTCTGGAAAACTCTTTGTTGAGTGAAGAAACGCGCTTCCAAGACGGGCAAGGACGGTCACCTTGGGAAAAAAAAACGCCATCCTTAAAACCCAAGTTCACAAATACCCAATTCACAGATAGAAGCCGAAATTGACGAAATTCCGGTTTGTTTTTCCCATGGTGTCCAGCAGGAGAACTGATAGCAAAGCGAATCAGCGGACAAGCTTGCCTCACCACTGGCCTTGCGCGCATACATTTAAGTGAGCCGACAAGTGATGCTTGTCCTCGGTGTTTTCGGGATGTGCAGAGCCGTTTACCTAGTGCGATAAAAATATTGGTGCACTGGCAGTTTTGGCGGTGCTATGCTATTGCGTTATAGTGTGATAGTTGTGTACAACTTGCGTAAAATAAAGTGTGGCAGCCTTTTTTTTTTCTCACAGTCATAGACATTTTGAGAAATATGGTTTTTAGCTAAAGTCCGAAGCTCGGCGCTTGCGTGGCCGGAGCAGGCCAAGTCCCGTACGACGATAGCAATAGTAAGGGGGCACCTTGCCCTTGTGCTGCAACAACGGTGCCTGGAACGTGCCTGACCACACGCTAGGTACCTTAAAATAAAGGGACTAATTCATTCAACTCACAAAAGAAAAGGAAAAGGGGGAAAACTGACCCTACATTCATATTTAAGGTGTACCTAAGTATAGAAATATATACCGTAAAATACCGAGCAAGCACCCCCTCTAAATTTAAAGATTATCCAATCAAAATAGGGAGGGGTCCCTTACTCGGTTCGGGAAACATTCAAAAGGGTGGCCATAAAAATTTAAAATTTTCATAAAATGGGAGGGGGCTCTTAAACGATGGGAAGGCTTATGCTCGGTATTTTACATTACGTATAAACTAGGGGTGTGCAAATATTTGAAATTTCGATATGAATAGAATATTTTCCTTATTCAAAAACATATTCGATTCAAAAATTGCATATTCCCGAATATTTGGCCAAAGCCGAATATTCGGAAAAAACAGCGAATATTTACGGCAAACTGTGAATTTTCGATCAAGTAACGAATAATCTGCATGCCACGCATTCACCTATGAATATGTTTATTCACTGAGAAAGGTTATGATGCGTGCATTATCGATCTGCTCCGTTTCTATCTGCCCGATGGCAGCAAGACAGGATCAGTTTCGGTTTCTTTTTCATTGAGCCCTTTGTTGTGTGGCACTTTATAGCACTATATGATGTAATTGCGCATTCTATAAAGTGATAGAATACAATAAACCTAGTGAAATATAAATATAAAATAAATCTCGAGAGTGTTATCTAATATAAATGTTTGAAAAGTAAAAAAACAAAAAAAAAAGAAGAAAAAGCTAGCTGGGAGCAGAACATTGCATCGCCATTAACAACTACTTCTGCCACTCCCGCGCAGTCAAAACTAGGGATGTTGCGAACCTGCCCAGGTTTGAGTTCAACCAAGTTCAACTTTTTCTAACTTTCAACATGATGTTTGACAAAGGTTCGACTGAAGTTTGACTTTTGTGCTCTTGCGTGAAAATTTAAAAAAAAGGAAAACTGGTTGACTTTATTTGGCGGTGGAAAAGTTCAATACGTATTTGTTAGGTTTATTGGCATCACTAATGCACCTTTCTGAAACAGTTTATTTCCAAAAACGATCAATTTCAAACCAGAACCAAGTCTTTTGTTGTCATCATCACCGGCACGAGGTATCACGTGAAAATATTGCGTCCCTGACTGGATGCACCCGTTTCAAATGTTTTCGAATCGCTTCGAGTTGCTCACTTGTTTCGAGCAGGACCCAATCTCGGCGATTCGTGTCGATTTAAGGAAAGCTAGGGAACAGCCCGCCGGCATCGATTGCTGAGAAAGTTGCTTCGTCTGAAGGGAGCCTCACGCACTTACCGCCCTTCACACACTTACCGCCCTCACGGCCCTCACGCACTCATGCCACTCACACACTCGCCGCCCTCATGCTCCTCACGGCCCTCGCACCCCTCACGCACTCACCGCCCTCATGGCCCTCACACCCCTCATGCACTCATGGCCCTCACGCCACTCACCGCCCTCACACCCCTCACGCACTCATGGCCCTCACACCCCTCACACACTCACGGCCCTCACACACTCACGGTCCTCACGGCCCTCACTCACCCCCACACTCATGAATTTTCCTCGTTCAGAAACTCGCTCACCCTCACCTCACCTGTAAAGATGAGGGTGAGTGTGTGCCCTCATGAGTGATGTCTGCCAAGGTATGCTTACAAGTATTCAAGTATTCTATCAACTCCACTTAGCCCATACAGCGCATGAACCCTCCAACAAGAAACAATATAGAAGAAAACAAAAATGAAAAGAAGAACATTGCATATCACACGACTATCGAAAACATTGGGGTGGATTGGGCGAGTTTATTCAGCTAAAGCCGCTGATCCGGGCCCAATTCCTAAGCTCTGGCGAGCTAAATATAATTTTTCTTTTTTAAGATGGCATTTGAAAAGTAAATTGTTTTGTTTTTGTTATTACCTTTTTATTTATTTTAAATTGGATTAAGGCTGTTACAAGGCAATTCCTTTTCCCCACTGGTAGCCGGCGGCAAGCATGGAGCATTTTCCGTGCCGTGCTAGAGTTTCTCCACCAGACGGAGCTTGCCAAGCGCCTGTGACTCCTGCATGTCTTCTCCTCACACTCCTATTGCACCCGTCACCCACCCCCCACCCCCTTTCTCCCTCCCCCCTCTCCCCTATTAGGGTGATTAATAGTATGCATGGACATTTACCCCCTTTTCCCGCATCTCAACACTCCCCTCCCAATGCTAATACAGAACCTGACTGAGGTCCCTTTATTTTTTATTACTTTACTCGCCTCATCCCAGTAATGTTGTGTTTAGCGTTCCCTTCCACCCATGCATCGAAAGTGTTCCCAATGCGGCAAAAATTGATGTCGTAAAAGCCGGAGTGTCATGCTGTCGGATGTCGAGATCCTGGTGTTTGGTTGTAGAAGTACATGAGCAAGCGCGAGTGTTGCCGTCGTTAGGGCGTCTTGACTCCCGGTTGCCAAAGCTGCCATCGATCGTCGAGCTGGGGAGTGACCTGTAGCTGAACGGTCGTCTGCCACATACCCCACCACTGCTGCAAAGCTGCCAGGATCCTGGGCGGCGACAGCATGACACTTCTATGACGTCGTTCCGAGAAAACCGGGGGGCCAATTTTTAGGTCGTGGTTGTTATCGAGGCGAGCTTGGCAACCAGCTTTTGACAAAGACTGCACCCTGCCTGCCGGTGTGTCCAGGTGCCCGTCTCCACTATGGCCACGGTGCAGAGGGTGGTGAAGGCGGCCACCGCAACCACCGCAGGGGCGGCCAGCAGTCCCAGCACGCTGCAGGGCAAGGCCGGCACGACGCGCGGCGTCTACGTGCCGACCAGGGTGACCAAGCGGCCGCCCACCATTGCCAAGGCCACGACAGCCACACCCACCGGCATCTCCACCGAAGAAGGTGCCCATCTTTGACTCTGTGGGGCAGTGTTTTGGCAGGGCTCCTTGAAACATTCTGGCAAACTCCAGCCAAACAGGGTAAAAGGAAAGCGACATAAATAACAAAGTTTATGCTGCTTTCATCCTTCATGTTTCTTTCCTTTTATCATAACTTACCAGCACGCTCCAACATGACGAATTCAGCTAAACTTTTAAGCATGCGTGAGCGGCTTTGAGGGCTCTTTTTCCGTGCCAACATTCGTGTGGGTAAACCACCTTTCAAAGCTGTTAAAGTCCCTTACGCATATTCTGCCATGCGTTTGCTTTTTGGCGGCCTCTGCGATATAGATGGCATCTAGTGGCTAGAACTGAAAGCCGTAGCGGCAGGTTCGCTCGCCAGCTTTCTACGGCAAGTGAGATATTTGCAGCACCTGGTGATCTAAAGACGAAGTTGCGAATCCAGGTTAAGAAACATGGAATGAAAATCGCCATTACGGCAGGAAATTAATCACCCTCGGTCAATGTATCCGATGTAGATGAGAAATTTAGACAGTGCGGTGCCACCGCTAGCCTGGGGTCTTCAGCTCGCGTCACGTACTAGTGATGTGTGACTGCACGCTGTTACAATGCTCGTCCAGATTGAAACGAGCAGAAGTGGGGTTGATCCCAGGTTTCTGCAGCTTTCACTTCACGGGCTCCGAGCTGCGGTGTGGTGTACATGCTCGGCCGACAATCTCCCCCCCCCCCCCCCCCCCCCCCCCCCATGCAGCCTTAGTCATGTTTCTAGCAGAAAGGTATGTCGAACACGCACAAGTTCACACCCGGGTGTTAACTTGTGTTGGAGGTTTTGCTGGGGGTCTCCAGCATTAGGAGGCACCATGGACCAGGTGGACTGTCCTAATATATGCCAGAACTCATTTAGATTTTAAGAAAATTGGAACATTCGGCAGAAAGGAGAGGCAACCTGTGGGAAACTCAAAACCTACGCCGCATATTGCTTTCGGTAATGTTTCTTTTTTTTAGACTGTCAGTTGCGTGGAGTATTGACATAAAGTGCAGATTGCTACGCACGTCGTTGAGCGGGCTTGTGTGTGGCCGAATGGTAACCACGCTGGACTGTCGCACGGAAGGTCTATGTTTATTCCAGTCAGTGTAATGTTCTTTTATTTATTCTTTCCACTTGGTGTTCTCGTAAGCTCGAGAACATTCTCGTCTGATCGAGTTGCGAATGTTCTACGGGCCAAAAGCCATGCAGTCGGCCTCGACCGAAACACAGTAGTAGCAGTCCTTACCATAAGTTACAAAACAAACCATTATCTTATTAAAAAGTTATAAGTGATATTCTGAAAATTTCGGTGGAAAATGGGGCTTTTTCCTAATAATTGCCACCCTTCAGTTTTATGTATTCGAGGGCTCCATCGACTGACACTTTCTCATTGTAAATTTCAGAAAATCACTTATAACTTTTGAATAGGGAAATAGTTCTCAAAACTTTGGCATCCGGCTCAAACTGCAAGCACTATATTTGGGCAGAAAATGAGCATTTGGCGACGCATAATTTATTTTCGCAATAAAAAAGAAAAAACAAAACGCCTTTACATATTTTGAAGGGATACTTTGTATTTGTTGCGTGCACGCCACAGCAATGGATCGGGTGATATCAGTGCAACTTCTTTCCGAGGAAGGGCCACAAAGCCCGCCCATACTCTGGGCCTCTGACCGAAGGCTCTTCTGTGGTCTAGTCGAGAATGACCGGTCTCTTCTTCTCTCGCCAGTGAGTGGTGACCAAGGAAGCACGTCTGTCCTGGCCACCTTGGCAGCACTTGCAGAGGCCACCGCTCCCAACGCAAGTGAGAAGGCACTCTCTCTCTTGCATGAGTTGCGCATGCAAGGCCCGGTGCAGCCCCACCGGCTAGCCAGTCCCCGCTAGTCTCCGGGTGCCTCGAGATGCCCAGAACAAGGACGCGTTTTGGTCCGCATGCCCATTGCTGTGCTGTGACCGCATTCTTTTCCGAAGCACAGAGCACCTTTTGTTCCTTCCTGTTATGTAACTTTTATTTCCTGTCAAGCCCTTGTTCTCAGACCTGTCATAGAGTTGCCCTTTCCCTCTTTTACCCGACATTTATTTTTCGCCGTCCTTGCTTTGTGCTTTCTTGTTCTGTGCTTTGCGCCTTCTGGGCAAAACACTTTTTCAGATGGTACCTTTTACGAGCTTGAGCTTTCATCTTTATCTTTGGAGATTTTATGTGTAATAATATTGTGAAAGTCAGCAGTGAAACTGAATAATTTTGCATTATTGGCTACCCGTGTGTCCGTACCTGCAAAAACACAAACTGCTTACCCTTTCAATATCTTGAGTGTAAAGCTAGCTTTTATAAATATTTCTCAAGCATTGTGTCAACTTAGCATGCTCAAGATATGCAAGTTAGGTTGTCTGAGCAACCTGTGTGCTGTATGTTGATTGTTAGTTGCTGCTTTTTGATCCTCATTTTTTCTTTTATGGCATACTGGGGAAGCCACAAATGACTAATGGCATCATATGTAGGAAATGTTGACTTTATAGTCAGCATTTTTCACAAATGACCAAGATTCCGCAAGATATTCAAAGAGCTGGTCCTATGCCAGCTTTTTGAATATCTTGCGGTGTTCAATGAGTCGGGGATATGCGGTAGTTCACGGCGTGCATGAATCGCAACAACTACCCAAGAAAAAATAATCGTAAAGAATCAAAGTTTATTTTAATGTAGTGGTGAGTGTACCACAGTTGTGAACATCTGTTTGCAGCGTGCATCTTGTACATTGGGACGTTTAAATTGTGTGCGACTACATAGACGTCATTCTTAAAAAAAGTAGCGAAGTAAATTTTGTAGTTCTCTTTTATGGTTGAATCTCATATGAGAAGTATTCCAAGCAATGCAGTCTAGTTTTTAATTCACCCAGTTTTTGAACTGATTGTACTGATGGCACTTTCCATTATGGTGGACCTGAATATAGTATTTGTCACTTTACTTGCTGACAGATCTCTCACATACTCCAATTAGGGGTTTCTGGTTTTGGTTTCGATGCCTTCTACTAGTCTTTGCATGCCATGCTTTCAAAAATAAGTATGTATCTGAAAATATTAGGAACTATCTAGTGGCACTTCTAACCCTCTCAAAAGTGAAGGACGTCATTGTTTTATGTTTTCTGGGTAGCTGTCTTCGGTGTCTCTTTAACACGTCTTGGTCACCTCTCTGGTACAGCCTTATCCTCGACGGAGGCGGTTCAGTGGCTGGAGACACACGGCATCACAATGCTTCCCGCCGACAACTCCACGATTGTGGCGTCAGCCCTGGAAGGTGGCCAGACAATATCTCTCACAGGTAAGAATGTCACGCTGCCAACATTGGTAGGGAAGAAACAGGACTTGGCTATGGACCAGTCTAGTTTACGTTATTCGAAAAAAATGTATTCAATTTGGTTACTTGAGAAGAAAAGTAATTTAATGTTATTTGAGAAAGTAACCATCCTTAAAGGGACACTGACAGGGTATTTATGCTCGCCGAGGTTTTTAGTTGTACGTGACATATGAGAGCTCAACTATCCAGAACAGAATTTGCGGCTCGAAATTCGGTTTTTTTCCGCCCGAAAACCGCCGATCAAGAACTGGCCGGTTCGAGTCTCGCTCACTCTCTTTTCCGCGGTCACGGGCCGTTTTCTAAGGTATCGATGCGACCACCAAATTTAATCAAAGTCGTGGGTCACTGAAAGCACACACTCAATATTAAAAATAGAAAAAAAATATAAAACCCATTTTTTGTGGCTTCTAAAAAGCTGCAAATACGTTGATTGAAAAAAAAGTTCCACAGACAACCGGAAGCATTCTGTGCGTTCGTCTTTTCGCGTATCGTGGGACTCGCGGGGACGGCGGTGGCAGCGGACGACGGGCGTGGGACCTCTATTTCAGAACTGTCGTTCGCGGTACCGGCGAATTCTGTCTACCTTTAAAAGAGAAATTTGGGACTGATCAAAAGAATTGGTATTCATCCCGTACGACACGCCCGACCACCAAGCCGATTTGCACGAAGACGTTGCCGAGCCGTCGCTCTCTTCTCGTGGCTGAAGACATCGCTCGCGCAAACGTCAAACACGAAGTGTGTACTTCGAGTTGATTATGCACGCGTACGATTTCTTTACAAGGTGCGAATGTCGCCAATGCGTTGTGCTTCCCGACTTCGACCCGGGAGTGCTTTTGCTAGAGGAAAATCGGCAGCTAACTTTCCAACTTACAGTTTACCGGCTGAATTATTACTAAGAAAAGAGATACCGCAGTGCAGAGTTGCCCCAGTAGCTCAGTAGGAAAGACGTCCGCTTCACACGCGGTAGAACCGGGTTCGATCCCCCGTAAAACTTTTTTTTTTAATTTTTTGATGTTTACATATCTTTCTTTTTACAATTATCACTGAAGAAACAAACAAAAAAATAACAAACACATGTTATGGACGACACTTCGATGAATTAAATGGTATGGGATTTCCTTTTTGACACCTGCGAACTCAATGTAATCACTTTCCACAAAATGCAAGGAGCATATAAATCAGGTAACGTCCGCTTTCCGAGGTGTCCGTATATGTTTTACAGGAATTGCAGCCAGCCATTGGTCCCGATCCCGTTGATCTTTCGGAAACGCCGTCGCACAATGCCCCTTTTTTTTCGGACGCAGGACATGTGAGCCAGCTCTTCACGCAAAATCTTGGGTGTACTCTTTTCGGAGCCGATCATGGAAATTCACCACGGTCATTCGCTACTCATCTCCAACTTCTCAATGTACAAAACAGCTCATCTTGGAGTACAGAACAACGAGCGGAACAAACATAACTCACGGCGAACAGTTCCCGCACGCCGCATCGCACGCCGCATGTCCTGTCGTCTGCTACCAAAAAGGAGGAAAAAAAAAAAAAACGCACGGTCGGGTGTAGCCACGTGACTTCCGCCACTCCACTCTCTTCTCTCCACTTCTCCGACCTCCGTCGGGTTTCGGTTTCGGTTTCGAGCAGTTGCGTCTTTTGGCTTTATTAAAAAAATACGCTACGCTGTTGCAAAATATTAATTGGGTAGTCCTCCGACACCATAATGAAGCGCCTGGCAAAATATGAAAAAAAAATTTTGGGGGGTGTCAGTGTCCCTTTAATGTTTGCCCAGGGCTAAAGGTGTTACGAAAATCAAAAAGTGCAAAGAACAAGTGGTAGAACAAGACAGGGCAAGCGCTTTGTTCTACCACTTGTCCTCGATGCTTTTTGATTTTCGGGATGTTTAACCAAGGGTAAATTTTATTAAAGGTGTTACTTACACAAGGGTGGTTGTTACGAAGTCTGCAGCATTATCTAGCTTGCCTTTTCTGCACCCTTGAAGTACACCTTACGCCCCATCAATTTTTTTCTGCCTTCTGGTGACCTGTGCAGATGCAGGCAAGCTGGCCCTCAACTGGGTCAAGGACCAGCAGGCTGTGTCCAGCGAGCCCACTGGGAGCAGTCAGGTCTCACTTGCAAACATGTCTGGTGCTGGGAACCAGGTAGGCCTCTGCAGATGCAGCCCCTTTATTGACTCCATCCCCTCGGTTCTAGCTACTGACGTGGGCAAACTGGGTAGCACACATGACACTTATTCGTAAAAATTTTCTCGTTGAATACAACCCATAAAGCATAGTCTGCGTTCAAACGCATCATTTGCCAATCTGCAGCTGCGTCTGGCGGTTACTGACGGGGGTGTGCAGAAGTCAGCAAAACCAGTCTTCCCTTGCTGCTAGACTCACAGTCAGCCCCAAACTGTCTCGATCGCTCGCCTTGACCTTCGGCAATGCTCGAATAGTCAACAGTTGCGGAAAGAGCGGCTGGGGGATCCGAAAATGGAATTCAATGAGAAACCGGATGGGACTCCCAGCGATGTCGCTCGAAAGGACAGCTGAGGGGTTCTCCGATCTTTGATTTCTTCTATTTTTTAGGCTCGAAACTAGTACGCACAACAAAAAAAAGAATAGTTTCTTGTTCTTTGTTTTATAGATGACACAGATTAGTATCTGCAGTTAATTGGCCAAAGTCCGAAAACCGTCGCACTGTCCCTTTAAGTTTTGATTTGGAACTCTTTTTGTTCCCGTTCTGCCCACTAGAGAAGCATGACAAAAGAGTCTGAGCACACACCAAATCCCACCACAGTGCCGTGTCTTTCAGCACTATAAAATCTCTCTGCCATGTTTGTTGTCACCGTGGCATTAAGGCGTCTGCTGTATGGATGCAAGTGTATGCGCAAGAAAAAATTGTTTTCTGTTCTTCGTTCTGTAGACGACGCAGATTAAAGTTCGCAGTTAATTGCACAATGCGAATGCTGAGTCTGAACCCAGCAGCGGCTGATCGCATTTTCAAAATACCGTCTGCTGGAGTAAGCACGGCAGTGCTAGCCAAACCCAGACGCGCTGTAACATGTTTCAACGTTGGCGGTGGCACGCTGTTTCAGACTTCCCGCGATGTGGTAACCTTGTGCTGAAGCGAGCCCCTGGCAGTTCTGACATAGCTTGAGTGAGCTCGAGCATGATATTATAATCTATTTACCCCGAGCATAGCAGAGCAAGGCAAGGCGGGAGGGGTAGATGGTGTTTTCTTTTTTTTCCTGGAACATGGGTCTATGGTGTCAGACTGCTGTTTTTTTTTTATATCTCGTTCACAAATGCAGTCAAGAAAGGCTGTCGGGCGTAACTCACCACTTTTACCATGGCACACTAGAGATACAGCTTGTTGGAACGCAGACTCTCTGACCGATTCAAGGTCGTTTTTTTTTTTTCTACGCAATAAAATGGAAATCAAAATGTGGGGATGGAGGTTAATTTTCCCACACTTGTACTGAATGTAGCACTTGCGTCTGCTGAACCAGATGTTCAACAAAGGTAGTGAATGATGGTCACTCATTAAGTATACTTTTCTGAAGTTCCCTTCATTGCTAAGATTCATGAGAGGTTTGTATTCTTTTTTTTTTGTTTTATTAATACGAGCATTAATTCTTTCTTAGAATATTCATCCATGACCCGTGCATTTAGTATTTTCCTTGGTTTCGGGCAATATTCGTTGTGACCGACTGTTAAAAAAGGGCCATAATTGAAGTTCCTCAATTTACACGAGTGGAAAATAAGATACTATGTCTTTATTTAATGATAATGAGAGATAACAGCACCTAGATGTGTACCTTATTTAGCTACAAAGGAGTGATTGCCAGTTTTGGTGCTGCAGTATTGGCATTCTAAAATCCTAATTGAGGGTCGAACGACTTGCGTTTTCGCAGAAGGTGATTGCCATCGTGACGGACCAGTCGCAGATCCCGTCCATAGTGTCGAGCGGAGGGGGACAGGCCCCCTTCATGGTTCTGTCGAGCACCGCGCTCAAAGGCGCAGGTAATTTGCATCGAGGTGCCTTTGTCGGTTGTTCCGACCGGCTTCGCTGGCCGTGCTGAGGCAGGGTTTTTTTTTCTCTGGCGACAGATGGAACAACATCACACATGATCATTAAGACACCTGTGGAGCCCGCTGCCAAGCGACCCAGGAAGGTGTCCATTTCCGAGAAAGTCAATGGACGTCTGGCAGTGCCAGCGTCGCCAGATGCTCAGGTACACCGCCATTTCGTCTCTTTTTCGGGGGTGCAGATATTACATTAGGCTTGCGATAATTCAAACTCGGATCATTTCTACTTCCGCTTAATTCAAACAGATTCCAAAATGTTGGTTGTCCTGCTATGTTCTTAATGTATCCACAAGCCGCTTAACTCGAACGGCGTTTTTATGTAATTCTTACTTTTTGTTTTCTAGCAACCCCGTTCTGTGCGCTTCTTTCTGAGCACTGGTGCACTGCAGAGAAGCAACATGCGCAGAGCTTGCATTCGCGGGTGTTGCTTCTCTGCAGTGGTCCGGTGCTCACTGAGAAGCGCACCTAACGGGGCTCAAGTAGGGCACACATGAGCTATGAAAACGGCACCACGCAGAAATTACCGTAGCAACTTGCGCGGACGCTGTGGCGTGGCAGCATGTCATAGGTCCACGTTGCAGCATCCATGCAAGTTGCTGTGGAAACTGCCGCGCAGCGCCCGTTTTCATCGCTCGTACGTGCCTTGCTTAATACTCAACATGAGACAACTTCTTGGCCTGATGAACAAACTTATCTTGTTTTGAGTAATCATCTGCTGTTTAAACAGTCCACGATAAAGAACATTTTTGAGGGATAAATAAACTTATGTCACACATTTCACAAATGTTTCTTGTGTGGCATACCTGCTTATGATCAGTAGGACTATGCAGAGAAAATCATCAAATATCTGCTTTGTATGTGCAGCCATTCGTAGGGTAAATCATAATTTTATTTTGCATAATATTTAAATAAATTTCTGATAATTCAAACAAAATTAGTGGCTTCCTAGATTTTGAATTAATGAGTCTGCTGTAAATGCGTAGGATTTAGGGGGGCATCTCTTAGAGCTTTCGTGTTCGAATGTGAGAGTTTAGAATGTAGTGCGGCATGTGAACTGCTCTTCGAGCGGGGACTCGCTTCAGTTGGTGTTCAGCAGCAGCAATGTTGACTACGCATACTACGAAAGCTCTCGCTTGCGGGCTTTGCGTACCACCGAAGCGGCGTAGGAGCAACGAGGGACGAGTGGGCGGTTTGGCTGCAAAATGGAGGGCGCCGGGCACAGCAGCAATGCAAACCCAGTTGCCATTACACGGCGGACAATCCGTTCGGTCCGGTGCCTAATGCTCGCAACGTACCATTGCTTTTTGGCTACCAGATTACCTCAAACATTGGGAGCGAAATGGCCCCGCATGCATTTTTCTGCCACTCCCACGGGTAGCCAATTGCGGAGGATTCATGGATGCAGCCTTCCGAACGACGAGGCATTGATTAAAATAGGATCTGCGCCAGGGTTCTTCGCGCATGAACATTGCTCTCGGGCTCTCTGCACAGGCTGCGTTTTCGAATCAGCATGCGATCTCTGTCTCGCCGTTCGTTGAAATCTCGGGAACCCTGTCTGAAAGCCCACTATCTGTTTCGTGCGACGACCGACAATTCTGTCGTCTCGGAGCGTGCGTGAGAGAGGAGTGGGTTGAGCCTGTCGAGTAAAGGCTCGTTTGCGCAGTTGTGACATCTTACAGCCGAGGATCTCGCGATCTCTTACAACGAGAGAAGACGCTGCGCCATCTCTTGGGTAGCCGTGGAACGTTTGCAGTTTGCGTATACTTCATTTTCTTTTTTCGCAACATTCATCGTTTATTGGCTGGAAGCATTTTTGACGATGTTATGAACCACCCTTTTGCATAGATACTATGTAAATTTGATCTTTCAAATACAGTAAAACCTTCGGTTCTAGTGAAATGCAGTTCCGGAGCCACTTCATGGATAACACCAGCATGTTCTCTTGCCATAAAAGATTGCAAGAACTCGGTCAGAAAGAAACGTGAGGTTGCGAGAGGGCCTTAATTGAGTGCCCGTGTTGGGCTCCAGGTGAAGGTGGAGACAGAAGGGGACCAGGAGAGGAACAAACTTCAGCGGGAACTGGAGGCCTTGAGGAAGCAGGCGGAGCAGTACAAGGTGCAGCTGCAGCAGAAGGCCCACGAGGCCGAGCAGTACAAGAAGCAGCTGGAGCAGATGAAGTCCAGCAACTGAGGGACGTCTTCGTGAGGGCTGTGGAAATGAGGAAGAAGAGACTGCTGTTTTGTTTATGTACATACCGCAATGAAGTGAATTTTTACATCACAAGCGAGTGTTGACGATTTTTATTTTTACATTTGCACGCGTGGTTGGTGGTATTCGCTGGACACCGTACTTGAGCTCAGCATTCATGGGGCATGCTCCGAACGATACCCCACTCATCTTCTAAGTACTTAGACCCACGATCGTGGTGGCGTGAACTGCACGTTGCAGAAGCTTCGTGGTAGCTCGTAGTAAGCTCACACTTGGCAGCAACCAACTCAACGATGGCCACTAGTATAATATATATGGCCACCAGTATATACTACTTATTGGCAATGCGTGCGACCAAAAGCATAGCTGGGGTCAGCCTTCCACGATTGGCTAAATGCGAATTATGGCATCTTTTAATGATGAATCTCATTAATGAAATAAGAGCGATTTCGGATTGTCAACTTTACTTGCTTACGCCATTCTTTTTACATGCACCATCAAAACTGTCGCTGGCAATTGATAATTCTAGTCATGACGTCACAAATAGGAACATTAAGAGTGGAGCCACTGAAACATCTCGTTGCCAATGGTCAGTGACAGGATGTGAACAGCAGGGGAGAGGTTGTAGTTACTCCGCCTTCAGCGCAAACGTCCTACCTTCGCTTTGGCGTCTCGTAAGCCTCAAGTGTGCATATGCAGCCAAGGCATGGCGAAAGTGAACGGACGCGTGCTAGAAGCCAGGCATTTGAAAGAGGGGCTCTGCTTCTCTTCCTGCGGTGGTAGCCAACATGAACTCTAGGAAGGTGGTCTAGCGGCCAAGTGTGTTAGTGCACCGTAGCTGGGAGTGCATGGAGCGAACGCTTCAACTGGGAAACCGGGGATCCTGAGCTTGATCCCCACCCTTGCTCATTTTGGTCTGGGTGAGCATTGTACCGCAATGTGTTTCTGTACCGCTACTACGTGATGCACGTCAGGGCATAGGTCGGCATTTTAGAGCCCCTTCATTCACCATCACATCACGAACAAAATCACGCCTCCGAATTCATTCGCATTCACGTCACAAGGTACTCCGACCTCCCAAAGTCACGGCCCTTCACATCCCGGCGTTCAACCGCGCCAAAACTTCATCCCCTTCACATCACGGCTTTCAAACTCCGCCGAGAATTCATCCCCTTTACATCACGGCGTTCAACCGCGCCTACAATTCATCCCCATCACATCACCGCCGCCTTGAAATTCACGGAGTCATTCACCATCACATCACCAATTCCTGAAGTCATTCACTATCACCACGAATTCATCGGAATTCACCATCGTGAATTCGTCGGAATTCACCATCACATCATGAATTCATCGGAATTCACCATCACATCACGAATTCATCCGAATTCACCATCACCATCATGAATTCATCCAAATTCACAATAACATCATGAATTCATCCGAATTCATCATCACGTCACGAAGTTATTCACCATCACAGTCAACACGAATTGACCAGAATCCATCATCACATCATGAATTCATCCGAATTCACCATGACGTCACGAAGTTATTCACCATCACGGTCAACACGAATTCACCGGAATCCACCATCACATCATGAATTCCGCATAATTCACGAAGTCATTCAGGTTCATTCTGACTAAATTCGACTTCACGGCTGGTAGCCCTTCACGAGTTCGCAGTTCTTGCGGAATAGGACTGTGGCGCCTTTTTGTGTCAGCCACTTGAAACCAGTACCTTACTCCGCCGGGGAAGTAGGGTACTTCGAGTGCGCGAAACGCAAAGCACATTGATAGAGCGCCAACCAAATGCCGCGCTGCGATCGTGTCACGTGAATGTGCTCCGTGCGCCGCTGCGCGGAACCGGCAGGTCACGTGATATGGTCTCGGCGCCGGATTAGGTGCGCCTGCTCGTGACGTCGGCTTCGTCTCTTTTGAAACGATATTTGGCTGCGCCGCATAGACGAAACGGCGCCTGCTGCTACTAGTGCCAGCGGACAAGTGCGGCTGCGCCACGCACGACCCACGAGCGAAAATGCACAGCGAGAGCCTTTAACGGATTCCGGACCACATGCCCCGAGACACGGAAGGACAAGGTCGGCAAGGAGCTCAATTGATTCACGTGGAACCGCTCAGAACAACGGCAAAATTAAATGTCAAGTGCCAAAGAAAACGGCTAGCCCCCCTCCCCCCTCCCGTCCCCTTCATTGCCACTGCCACCGCACTTGCCTTATAAACAGCTGTTACTACGAAAGTGCTCGACGTTTTATTTTATTTTACAATTCACAATATTGAATGTTAAAGCACCTGTTCCATTCTGCCTTCTTTTTTCATTTTTAATATTCATTGTACTGTTTACTGTTGAACTGTTGGGGGGCAGAGACTCTGTCAGGCTTCACGCCTTTATCTCTGCCCCCTAAGCAAAAAAAAACCCGCCAAAAAAAAAAAGGGCCACCGCGCTGAGGCGCGCACGGCTACGCAGCGAGAGTGATGCCCAAACCGCTAAAGTCAAATGAGTTCCTGCGGTTTGTGGTGAAGGATGAAAACAACCAGCAAGCAAGCAAGCATCTGCGTAACATGTTTGCTGCCTATTCTGAATTCATAACCGTATTCACTATCATGTCAAGAATTAAGCTCACGGTATTACTTCCCATCACGAACGTATCAAGTTCACGAGCCACGCACATAACAAATTCGTCGTGTTCACGAGTCATTCACCATCACGTCACGAATTGATTGAGTCGTTCAGTTCACGAAGTCTTTCACAATCACAACACATCATGAGTTCATTCAAATTCACGAAGTCATTCACCATCACATCACGACTTCATTCAACATCACATCACGAATTCATTCAAATTCACAGTCATTCACCATCACATCACGACTTCATCCACGATCACATCATGAATTCATTCAAATTCACGAAGTATTCACCATCACATCACGATTTCATTCAAATTCACGAATTCATTCACCATCACATCACGAATTCATTAAAATTCACGAAGTCATTCACCATCACATCACGAATTCATTCAAATTCACATAGTCATTCACCATCACATCATGATTTTTTTCAAATTCAAGAATTCATTCAGGGCCATTCAGATTCACGCTGTGAATGTGAATGAAGGTGAATGAGCGAGTTCATGAATGAATTTGCCGAGGTATGCGTCAGGGGCCCCTGGCTAGCAGTTGAACTGCACCGGCTAAATTTCTCATCTACAGCAGAGTCATCAGATGTCCTTTGGTGCAGACTGGCTTCCTGCTGTGTAAGCATCCATGCAACAAATCACTTACTCTAGAGATACGAAAAACACGGCACTAAAACTTTGTATTGTCTTAGTCGTAACCTGATGTGTTTCTCTTGTATGTAGCTAAAAGGACAACTCTACAATATATTTTTTTTTTTATATGCGACTTCGGCTTTTTTTTGGTGCTTAGTGGGCAACAGGCAATAAAAATGGTGAGAACATAAGCATGGTTAATGAGTTCACAGTATAATTAAAACAGTCATAATAATTAAAATTTTCTGACATCACAACATTGACCTTGTTCAAAAAAGCTGTGAATGCGCAAAAAGATGCTACATTGTGCTAGGCTGCTGCGGACACAAGATCAGCATCGTAGGTCACCTTGTTTCTCAAGGCTCTGACCACAGTTCCGTCCCGACCAGGGTGAAGACCTTCCTGCTGGTAAAATGCGGGACATGAGGATATTTATGAACACGCACACCATGAAAGGAGGCTCTCTGTTAACAGATTTAATATCTTGTTCTGATTATACACCTGTGAATTGTACTGCAGCAATTAAGCTAATTTTAACTCCCATTGTTATATTGTTTATGCCAAATAAGTGTGTTGATGTTGAAAACATAAAAATCAATTGCAGCAGAACTCAATGCATCAAAATAAATTAAGAAACAGTAAATCTTTTTTGGGTTATTGTTTCCTGTTAATGTTAATTTTATCAACATGTTCCTACACAAATTTTCAACATTATGTTCTTTTTCAACTGTTGTGAGTTGCAGGCTTTTTTTTGCCTTGTGTGGCTGTCCTCACAAAAAAAAAGAAAATCACAGCAACCCTTTTGCATTGACACAGTGATATGAAAATAATTACAATAATTTATATTTAAGCTTTTGGCGAGCAATTCTTTTTTTTTTACAATATTTTGTCACCAAGGGGAGAAGCAGAACGGTGCATGCACGTCGGTTCTCCTGCAAGAGCGATTGTCACTTCCCGCGATGCTTGGATAGAAAATGGCGTACCATCGAGATTCACACGATTGCCATCGATATCCGTGCTTCCCCTTGTTCGACAGCACCACGAGTTTGAGTGAGTTTGAGTGAAGCCCTCAATGGGGTAGGACAGTCCCGCGAGTCGCGGGATGGGTGGTCACCCTAGTCCGGACGGAACCACTAGAGTTCCATCCAGACACAACCGATAGTCGCCACTTTCTCCCTATCGTCCTGCGATGTATCCCGATAAAACGAAACAATGAAAGAAAAAAAAAAATGTTTTGCAAAAAAAGAAAAAAAAAAGGTATGTTTTTTGGATTTGATCCTGGGTCCGCTGCATGTGATGCGGCCACGTTATCACAGGGCTCTACGCCACAGCCAACGTTACTAGAACCCTCAGTTGGGAAACTCACCGTTGAAACATGGGCCGCTGGCGTCCATCGAGCTCGAGCTAAATACGACAACAGCGCCACCCTTTATCATTTGTCTTTACTGTGGTCACCTTGAACTTTCAGACGCATGTTTTTGCGTAAAAACAAACTGGAAAAAAACTTTTTGTAGTAACTCTTATTGGAGTTTAGTACAAATTGAGGGCGCATGATGTTTTCTAAAATCTTTAGTTTTGCAAGGTTACAACCATGCCTCAGCGGTGATTTCAGGTAGCGCGTCCCGACCTAGGTGCATCTTAGCTTCGGTCGTGATTCGCGGCGAGTCTTCTGGAGAGATGCGGGTGGCGCACCACCGTATCTGTTTCGGCGCCATAATGGCCGATTAAAGCCAAAATTAGGGATGCCGCGAGCAGAGTAGCGCAATCGAGAACGCCATCT